AGCACATTCAAATTAGGGCAGGTGTATGCAAATTAGGGAGCACATTCAAATTAGGGACAGCTGTATGCAAATTAGGGAGCACATTCAAATTAGGGCAGGTGTATGCAAATTCGGGAGCACATTCAAATTAGGGACAGGTGTATGCAAATTAGGGACAGGTGTATGCAAATTAGGGCAGGTGCTCCGTGCTCCTCTGCTCCTACGCTATTTCCTCCCTACTTATAGTGTTTTCGCTTTCGTTCGTAAATTGTAATATTCAAATTAAGTTCCTACGATAAATTATACACTCAAATTTTATAAGTTCTATTTCTTGCCCTTTCTTTTTTTTCAATTACAATTTCTTTCTAAACAAGCAATTGTTTATTTCACTATATCAATTCAACAGGCCAGATCAAAGCAACTTTGAAAGTCCATTTAAGTTTCTCTATTGAGCTGTCGAAGGCTAGCGGACTAATTGGACTTACAGCAAGAACAAAACCGCTGAAAGAGACACTGTTGCATACAAGCCTCTCCATGGAAGGGATGCTGTAAACCGGCACCCCTCCAGTAAGTTTTGAATTTATAATTTGCAAGTCTCATAAAATTAATTAATCTTCTCTTATTTGTCTTTTCTTTTTAGAAGTAGTGAAAAGTTCACAAAAGTACAAAGTTTATTGATATAGAGGAAAATGAAAGTATTCGACATAAACCATCCAGTATAACTGCACTTTAGAATATTACCATTACTCATGGTAAAAACAACATATCGCACTATGAATGCAATAGTACCATAACTAAAAAAAAATTATTTTTTAGTTAGCAACTACAATCTACCGGTAAAACATATATTTATTGTGCAATAATACCACGTATCAAATCTTACTACAAATACAGTAAAAACGATGTTAACCCTTAACTAGTCGCTACATGGTCAAAAAGACCGCACGTATTAAAAATTGCTAATATTTCAGAAAAAAATTACATTTGGCAACCACAGCCTTCAGTAGCTTACTCATTCGATACAAGGAGCCTCAGTACTAAATCAGACTAGCGCGAGGTTTGTTGATTAGGCGTTACAGCGCAAAGGTCATAACTTCCGCGCGTGTCTAGTCAGCTAATTTTTTATAAATCATTTTATTGTGTTTCTTATCACCTTAAGGTATGTATAAACGCTAGTTTTTTTAAATAATATACTATTATACTTTTGTCTTATTGTTTAGTAACCTTTTGAATATATCTCTCTTTCTTTTACTATGTAATTAGTCATCAAATTTCAAATTACTTTGAAGCAAATTACTATTACGATATTTCATAATTTTCTTTGTTCTCTTATTGAGTATCAAATACTATTTTTTTTTTAATTTTAAGCTACACCAAACTTTTATATATAACTTGTTTGGCTTTATTTTTAGAATTGACTATGAGAAGGAACAAGGAATATGACGACGACGATGACGAGAATGAAGTAAATCCGGAAGTTATTGATGAGAGGTCGGAAGATTCGGAAAGCGAACAAGAACAGGATTTAGAAGAAATAGGAGAAGTTTTCTGAATAATGTACAAGAATAGAGCGTTTTTAGGGGAAAAGATGGTACAGTGTGGAGAAAGCATCAAAGAAAAAATAAAAGGGTACATATGAGCAAGCCTAATTTAGTAAAACAATCACCTGGGCCTAATAGATTGACGAAAAAGTTGAAAGACATTTATGAAATATGGAGTTATTTCATTGATGAGGACATGATTTACATAATTGTAGAATCCTCTAATAAATACATTGAAAGTATAGCAAGCAATTTCTCTAGGGAGAGGGATGCAAAGCTTACAAACCCATCTGAAATTCGTGCTCTTATAGACATTTTAAATTTGGCAGGGACATATAAAGCCCATCACCTGAATACAGAAGATATCTGGCAAACTAATGGCGAAGGTATTGAAATATTTAGACTAGTTATGTCCTTATTCCGATTTCGGTTTCTTCTAAGATGCATTAGATTTGATGATAAGGTCGATCGTGAAGAACGTAAGAGACTGAATAAGATGGCCGCCATCCGAATATTTTTTGACAAATTCGTAGAAAAGTGTAAATCGGGATATAACTCTTCGCAAAATTTAACACGCGATGAAATGCTTCCTGAATTTTTAGGGAATTACCCTTGGATACAATATATTGTAAGCAAACCCTCAAAGTATGGGCTCAAAATTTTTAGTTTATGTGATGCTGAAATGTATTATACCATAAATATGGAGGTTTATGTGGGTCGTCAACCAGAAGGCCCATTTACTGTAGACAATTCCCCGAAAGAATGTTTGCGCCAATAAAGAATTTTGGGCGCAACATTACTCTAGATAGTTGGTTCATTAGCATGCCTCTAATAGATGTTTTAAAAAAAGAATTTGGATTGACTGTTGTGGGGACCATTAGAAAGAACAAAAGGATACTTCCCCCTGAATTACTTCAAGGATCTCGTCCTCTAAAATCAAGTATGTTCGCTTTTAGCGATACATGTACCTTAGTGTCGTATATCCCCAAAAAGAAGAAAGTTGTATTGCTTGTTTTAAGTCTACGTGATGATGACGCTATAGATAGAGAAACATTTGAACATTATAAACCAGAAATTCTGACGTTTTATAACAAAACAAAAGTCAGCTATGCTGCTCTTATGATATTTCGCGATAAACAAGATGTTGGCCCATGGTATTTTTTAACACCATACTAAATATCGCAGGCATTAATTCGCTAGTGATTCGTGCAAGTAACAACCATGCTGATAATTAAATGCTTAGAAGAACTTGTTTGAAGCATTTAGCATTTTCTCTTATGGATGAACATCTACGGGTCCGAGCAACAGTAGACAATTTAAATAGAGATCTTAAGTTACGTATTAAGGTCATCTGTAATATTCCTAACAAAGACAGCACTCCAACGAATGAAGGAGTACATGGTAGATGCTACTTTTGCGACCGTAAAAAGAACCGGAAAACAACTGTTTTCTGCTGTAAATGTAAAAAGTTTTTATCCAGAGAACATACACGCGCAGTATACGAATAGTGCCAAACTGAACTTATTCGGATTAACTAAAAGCTTTCTTTTTTATCGGAGTAGAAAATAGATTTTTAATGTTCTGTCCAGCGTTTTTAACATTAGTTTACTTTTTATATTAGTTTGTAATATGTTACTCTACTTAATAAACCTTAATCAAATCCTGTTTTACTTAAACTGGTTCCAAATACTTTTATTAACACAAACTAATAAGTAAAAGACCAAACGGTCGTTTAGACCGCGCGCGACTACTAATTTTCAAAAATTCTTAGCGACTACTGAGGGGTTAAGTTACATTAACATTTTATGAAAGTTGAAATATTTATAATTCAATTGTAACATATTTTGAGATGCGTTAGCCTAGTATTACAGAATAAACCTAAAATCAGCGTAATAATAGGTTTGTTCTAGCAAACAGACAAACTAGTCAGAAACCGTCAGCAAACAGTTGGTCAGCGAGAGAAAATAATACAGTCACCAGTGCTATATCCCCTCTACTCGCGCTGGTCCACTATTCGCTGATGGTTTCAAACCATTTGAAACTGATGCTAGAACAAACCTAATGTCACCATATTTCACACTTACGTTAGTATTGCATCAAACTTCAGAGAAGTGAGGTTATATTGACACTACTTATCATTTACATTATAAACATTTAAGGCGCTGAAGTAAAAGTGTGTTTAGTTTTTGTGGTGTTATTAGTAAAATCAACAATAAAAATGTCTTTTAGAACAAAATTTATTATGAAAATGGCAAGTAAACGTTTTAAAAATGTATTCTCAAGTAAAGAGGTAAGTATTTTCAATTTGTTGCTAATCCAAACTCGTTCAATAAACTTATACGTTTGAATAAGTGTTATTCGCTATACCTTTTTTATTTTTCATAAACAAGCAAGTGCCATGGAAACATCAACTACGTTGGGAGATAATTTTATAATCGAAAGCAAATTTTTTACTATATTCAAAAATAATGATGTCTATCAAAAAAGAATGGTAGTCCCTATGTGGTACAAGAAATAGAAACATCTGATATTTATGATTTAAAAGACTTATCCTGTAATATTCGGACTAATTATAATATCAATTTAAAAGGTGAGAAAGTTTTATGGAGCAAGATAAAACTGTTCCACTTCAAGAAAGATGCACTGTTTTCTATATTTTATAAATACAATTATAATGAGAAACTATATTCAGAGATTAACGTACGTGTTCGTAGAAGTCATAGAAGTCCTAAAAGTTTATCAAGCTTTCCTCTTAAATTAGCATTTAGTAATGCTCCAAAAATTTCAAAAGAAAAAATGATAGACTTTTATGCTTATGTAGAGAAAAGTCAACTAAAACTCAATAACACAGTTTTTACGAATATTTGTATTTTCTATTTTCATAAATAAATTCTTAAAATTATTAAATTAAATTAAGCTCTAATTTAATTTAATACCTAGCTTGTCATTTTATCACACCATATACAAATATTAATAATCGATCAAATGCCGCAAAACTGACTAACATGGTGTCCTTAGATCCAACGATATTATCTAAAGATTGTCGCTAAAAAACTTTTTTTTTTATTTATTATTTTACTATTAAAGGTTAAATTCTTACATAAAAATTTTGACAAACAAAACTAATAGTGAATTTTGATTGGTTAAAAAATTAATTAGTCATTAACGTTATATTTCAAATATAAAGAAAAAAAGGCTGAAGACAGCTTTGGTTAATTTCTAAATCATATTCAGTTAAGAGTGTAGGAGGAGGATTGGGTTTCTGGTTCGGGACAGAGTAATTCTCGCCATAGTATTGTCGGAGTGTGAATATTCAAGGAATAAACTACGGAAAGCGTCGATCCCTATGAGCTTCTTCTTTGTTACTCAGAAGATAATATAGAAAAGATTCTTGAATTCTTAACTGATGTTTCATCTTTTCTTCACATTGAATCATCCTCAGTTGGCCAGATTCTTGACAATTTCGCAGGAATTGCCATAATGTATCATTCTCTAGGAGGTGCTATTCTTACAACCTGTCACCAACTTCTTCGACCAACTGTGACCTGTACTCAGGCAACTGAAGAACAGACAGACTCCCAATTTGTAAAACATATAAAGTATCCCAGCCCGGCTCCAATTTTTAAAAGTAAATTGACTCCTCCCCCTGACATTGATCAGGCATTTTACCACGTCAGCAAATATCCTTATTCCCCTGTTGATCCTCCCTTCGAATACAAAGAATTCAGCAGATATGATCATATCTCCCCCGATGTCTTATGTTTCCAGCCATACGCTAAGAATCCCAGCGCTTTAAACCATTCTCTAACTCTCGGACTGCTCATCGAATCCAGCGATATTGATGGCGTTACTATTCCGATTCCAAATATCAGAATAAGTTTAACTGAAAATAACTCCATGTTTTTACAAGGCTCAATCCCTATCTTACATGTCCTAAAATACATTCCTTCAACACAGGACGCAAACATATTTAGGCTATGCACTATAACAGTACACTCTGACGAATCACAACCTTGTGGGTTTGCTCTCCGTGACTGCTCAACAGTTATGGTTCCCCGATTCGGTAATGAACACGTTCGCTCTAATATGTCCCGTTAATTCGGCGTCACAATACAAGAGAATTGCAATGACAACGAAATCGATTTTACCTAGTCTGCCCACAATTCAGACACTTCTCCTCCTATTTCCACGAGTTCCGTCTACCTATGGTCAAGCTACAGATATGTAGCCAAATCCAACACGAGACGTCGCAAAGTATATCTATACTTCACACTAAGACAATACTACTGCGAGAATCTACCTCTGTCCCGAACTAGAAACCCAATGCTCCTCCTACCCTCTTAATTTAATATGATTTAGAAATTAACCAAAGCTATCTTTAGCCTTTTTTTATATTTGAAATATAACGTTACCGACTAATTAATTTTTTAACCAATTAAAATTCACTACTAGTTGTGTTTGTTAAAATTTTTATGTAAAAATTAAACCTTTAATAAAAAACTTTAATTAAGATTATCTCTAAACTATTAATTTTGAGTTATGTTAGTATTGTATTCGCAGTGCGATAGTCCATGAAGAACCTGAACATCCACTACACGTCCACTTAGTGTAATACCAAGTTCAACTCAAATGTCGCAACAATTATCAGTAAATACTCCCCGAAAAAATGTGTTACGAAGTACAGTTATACAATTACGGAAGGAAAATCATTATAAAAAAAACTTTAGAAGTTACAGTCTACAGAAAAGAAGTATATCGACAATGTGACAATTGAAGACAATATGGCACTTACATCTATATTTTATCCTTCGGCAAATATAGCTAATTTCATTAATGTTCAAATTTTACTATCTAGAAAAAAGGTAAGAGGCAGAAGATTTAGTAATCAATTTAAACAGGAATGTCTCTTAATGTACTTCACTGTACCAAAAGTTTATAGAAATGTTTTGTGCAAGAAATTTAATTTATCCAGTCATAATACATGATTTAAACACATACAACATATCAAAAATTGAGCCTAGACTAAATGAAGCTTAACTTACTGTTTTAAAACACAAAGTAGCAAACTTTACTAAATTCGACAAAATTTGTGCTTGACGTCTCATTTGGCGAAATGGTAATTAAATCAAATATGTCTTACAATAGGGGTTGCATTAAATTATTGATTTTGAAGATTTTGGTGATAAATCAAAAGCTTTCACATCTGCAGCAGATGTGACTGCTTTTCAATTCTTGGAAACAACCCTTAGCATATGACTTTCACCATTCATCCTGTCCAGCAGATAATCTTAGACCAATTTTGTTTACTGCTACAACAAATGATTGTGGATTAGATGTATGTGCTTTAATAAGTAATCTTGGATCAAATAATTGGAAATTATCTAATGATTTAAATTTAACCCCAAACAAGCCGTATTTTGTTTTTCGAGCCACCACATTTTATAAAATTTACTAGAAATAATATGTTATAGCATTCCTTTGTTTTCAATGGAAAAACTTCCTGGGAATATTTAGAGTCCTTTCATCAACGTAATAAACACTACACTACTAGAGCTACGCCTAAATTAACAGACTCACATATAAGACCTAGCCCTTTTGAAAAAATGAAGGTTAAGTATGCAACGCAAGTTTTAAGTGCTACCGTTGTTGCCAGTATGAAGTTATATATACGGTTTAAAGTAATTCCGTCATCTGCAGAAAGTACTGCTGAAGTTATAGACATGTTTGATAAATTGTTTGACATACTAAATTCTTCAACAACCAGTCAGGACAAAAAATATAATCAAGCATTTAAAAATTTTCAAAAAAAAATTTTAGAAGACTGTTTACAATTTTTTAAAAATGTCAAGGTCTTGAATAAAAAAAATGAAGATGTCACCAACCGCATTAAATCTATTAGAGGTTGGAAAATATCGATTAAAGCGTTTTAGTTAATTTGGGCACGAGTAAGTGATGCTGGTTTTGAATATTTATTGTCAAGACAGTTAAACCAAGATGCCTTTAATATTTTGTTTCATTTTGTGAAAAAATCAGACAACAAAGTGAAAATTGTGTTAATCCAACGGTTTCACAATTTCAAGCTTCCTTTAAGAAACTGGTGTGCATTGATATTATTAACTCAGGGTCAGCGACTGTCAAGAGAATAAGGATAGTGTACTTTTAAAAATGTTTGGCTTTCCCAAATACTCTGTGGATACTGAAACATCTAAACAGACACCTGAAGACCCTGTGCTGTTTATTGATACAGATTATTAGAATGATTAAGACATAATGGAACAAAATTTTATAACATGTGTGCGGATATTTAATGAAAAAATGTTTAGAATTCCATAGTTGAAAATATGTGGCAGATACTCAAAAACTGTAACTAATTTGACAGATACTACTGTATATTCATATTTTAGGGTATATGAACATATACTTGACTGTCTCTTTGACAAGAATTTTGACATATTAACTGTACAGCCGAATATTACAAAAACATATGTTTCTCTATTTAGTATTATTTGTCAAACTTAGGAAGAAGTTTGAAAATCTTACAATCGCCACACCCACCTGATGCGCACTAAATTTATCGGAAACGTACCAGTCGAAGTCAACACTTCAACGTGTAAAGGTCGGTCCGTACAGTCTGCGGCAGAGTTTTCTTAAAGAATAGTGTGTCTCAGTGCAATGGAATTTAAATCAAAATTAAATCGAAAAGTTTTGTCCGGTCAAAGCCGAGAAATTATAGCAAATGTTATGCATTTTATGCAACAAGAAGCAAGGGACAACGTACCTCTAATAGACTTAAAACAAGTGCAAAAACGTGTTGTAAGAGCAACATGTGTAAGTTTATCCACCATACAAGCCATTTCGAAGGAAATGAAGTGCATCGAAGATGGTACTGCATCAAGCTTTAGTACTCCAAATAAAAAAATAAATAAGTCGGCTTTAAAATCTAAGTAGCATGAGTGCGACAAAGGGGTGCTTCGTCGATTTATTATTAATTTTTGTACTACGGAAAAACAAGTTCCAACTTTACGACGAATACATAGAAAATTTGCCACTGATTACAACTACAATGGTTCGCGTGCATCATTGAGAAAAGCAATGACGGATATAGGGTTTCGTTGGAGAAAACCAAAAAAATAATAAAAAACTTTTAATGGAAAAACCGGAAATTAAACAGTTGAGACGTAACTTTCTTCGAGATATTAAAAAATACCGAGAAGAGAAGCGTCCTATCATATACATGGACGAAAACTACATTCATTCTTCCCATACTCACTCGAAAAGTTAGAGCTACAATTCCAATGAGGGATTACGTGCTCCGATTTCAAAAGGTCAGAGACTGATAATAGTGCATGCAGGTGTTGAAAACAGGTTTGTAAAAAATGCTTATTTGAAATTTAAATCAAAACACAAAAACAGGAGACTACCACAGTGAAATGAATTACGAAAATGATAAAAAATGGCTTCAGGAAATGCTTATTCCCAATCTTCCTCCACGTAGTCTCCTGGTTATTGACAATGCTTCTTATCACAACGTGCAAGTTGAAAAGTGTCCTACTATGAGTTCAACGAAAAATGTCATGTAAGAGTGGCTAAGACAACGCAATCTGCCTTTTTCAGAAGATATATTAAAAGTAGATCTTTAGAGCATTGTACAAATCCATAAACCCAGATTTAAGGTGTATGAAATTGACAGAATACTGGGTAATAGTAGTCATTCGGTACTCCGGCTGCCTCCATATCATCCAGATTTCAACCCCATAGAATTAGTATGGGCAGCTCTTAAAAAATACGTGGCCGATAAAAACGTTGACTTTAAGTTTAGTTCTGTGGATCGCTTTTGCGATCAATTTTTCATTTCAACATTTTCAAATGAAGAGTGGAAAAAACGCTGTGAACACGCTAAAAGTTTCGAACAAATGTTGAGGAAAAAAGAACATGTTTTTGATTTAGTTTTAGATGAAATAATAATTAATCTTGACTAAGACAGTAGTAGTGATTTCAGTGATGAAAATTCTGAGTCTGATAGTGATTTTTCAGGAGTTGAGCCTCTGTAAACATTTTACTCTTCTTAATTATTATTTCTTATTGCTCTATCTTCGCGAATTTAAAAATTTTCTTTTCTGTCCATTTCTAACGCTCTTACTCTCTTTACACACACATTTATATATATATATTATATATATATATATATATATATATATATATATATATATATATATATATATATATATATATATATATATATACATCCTACTATCCTTAAGGACTCAAACCATAGCGCAACCTTACGGCCTCTCCTATTTCCAGGTGTATATAATATTTTAGTAGTCGTGTATATCGAAACAGGTAACAAAACATTCTTTATGCCCTAGTTTCTATTTGGATAAAATAAAATTTAACATATACTCTCCCCCTCGGTTCTCCTATCATTACCACCTCGTGCCGATTTCCGATTTTACAGCCTCATCAGTATAATTTTTATCCGTATTGTGGTCTTGGGGCCTCATATACACGACCTTATAGACTCATACGGTGTTGTCAATTCGCTCACTGCGTATTTCGATAATTCGGGGATTCCCCTCTTTATTTCCTATTTAAGCCAAGAAAGTTATTTCTCATTTCGCGATTGTTTTATGATCTTAAAAACGGCAAAAGTATAATATTTAAGTAACCTATATTTTAAACAGAAGCTTATAAATGACAAAATATTGTTATGATTTCTAAAAATTTGAACCTGATATTTATTGAAAGAAATATAATAATTTGGTTATTTAAGTCAATGTAATACTTTTTTAAGAATATTTAACACAACTGGACACAAATCAATGAGATACCATATTCTTACAAATAAAAATTAATAATACCACCAAGTATTAGATGTAGGGAGCCTGATCTAAGCTAACGTAGGGACTGGCCACAATTTAGTTTTGGAAAAAAGTCATCTTAATTCGATTAAGAATCATAAACACAAACTACCAACACTAGAAACTAAAATTAATAAAGACAATTTTGACAAAAAACTATATCAAAGTAGGCTAGATCAAATAATTTAACAACAAAGCGTTA